GGGCCGGGTGTCAGAAAGCGGGACCGGCGGGAGGGCACAGCTTCCCAGGAAAGGGTGCGCAGGGTGCTGAGAAGATTGGAGGACGGCTGGGGAAGGGGTCTCAGGGAAGAGGGGACAGACAGGCTTGGGGTTCAGGAAGCAGGACAGGCACGAGGCAGGGGAGCGCAACCTCGGGTGAGGGGGGACAGAGGGCACCCTGGGAACTGGTGGACAGATGGACGGAGGGACGGCCACCGCGGCGTGGCCTGTAAGGCCGGGGCCAGGCCGAGGGCGCGCGCGTTGGCGGCCGGCGCGGGGAGGCGGAGGCTGAGCGAGCGGCGGTGTTTGTGGAGCTGTCGGCTGCGGTGGAATTATGAAAAATAGCAGGCATCGGAGCCGGCCTTCAGCTTCGATTAGGGGAGATGGGACATGACAGGTGCGATCAATACGCAGCCGTTCTATAAAGTGTCAAGTAATGAATCAATTTCGACTAAATTTTCCATTTTTCAGAGGCCGTTCTCCGAGAGAAGAATATCCTCTTTTGTAAAGATATTATTATCGATTTCGGCGGCAATTTGACATCAGGGGTAGTTAATTCCACTCAGAATAAAATTGAAAACACTTGAGAGAGAAAAGAGAGAGGCGAAGAGTGAGACAGAGAGGGAGAGAGGGGGAGGGAGGGAGGGGCTGGGGGGAGAGAGACGGATGGACAGAGAGACGGAGCCCAGGAGAGGGAGAGACCGAGGGAGAGGCCCAGAGATGGAGGCGCAGGGAAGGAGGGAGGGAGGGAGAGAGAGAGAGAAAGGGAGAGAGGGAGGGGAACTTGGAGGCAGCAGAGAAGGAGAGGCATTTAGAGACCCCAGAGACAGAGACAGTAGAGTGTGTGCCACAGAGACAAATTCAGTGTCTCAAAGAGAAAAACCCAGATGTTGGTGACCTGCCACAGAGGTGCCAAGAAATGTTCAAAGGCAAACTCAGGGAAAGAGAAACATGGAGGCAGAGGCAAGAGAAACAGACTGACAGAGACACAGAAATAAATAGAGACTGAGAAGGAGAAACTTAGAATTGGGGAGAGAAGCTGAGGGAGGTGTGCACACCCCAGAGGAGACAAGAGAGGAAAGAGGAGGGGTGGGGAGCACTGGGCCACGCGGCCAGAGCCCATGAGAGCAACGGTGGAGAACGGAGGGGAGGGAGCCAAGTGTCCAGGGAAGGGCGGAGGGCAGAGGCCCAGGGTCCACAGAGGGCTAAGGCAGAATGGGGCCATCCCGCCCTCCCCGCCTATCTATGCTGTGCCCCAAAGTCACTGTGATAGGTGATGCTCAGCATGTGTGCTTGTGTGCCTGTGTGCCTGTGTGCGTGTGTGTGTGTGTGGATTTGTATGCAGATTTCTCTGTAGGCCAAGGAGTCTGAGTGGGCCTGCAGGGAGGTGACTGGGGTCTTGTGTGCACGGGTGTCCCTGAGTTCTGAAGTCTGTGTGTGTCCTTGCCTGGTGACTGTATCCTGTTACCTGTGTGTTTCCTGGAATCCATCTGTGTGTCTCTATTCCTGTGCCTCCGCAGCTGTGGGTCCCTGGCCTGGCAACCCCATGGGACTCAGTAACAGGCCGTGGTGACAACATTTCTGGTTAGTGGCTGTCAGTCCCCCAGCTGAAATCTCCATTTATCCCTGAGCAGGTCACAGGATGCCTGTGAGAAGAAGACATGGGAGAAGAAGCTGGAGGAGAGGACTTCTGGGTCTGAGGAAGGAAGGCTGGGGCCTGGACCCCGGGTCTGAGGGAGGAGGACTGGGGCCTGAGCACCGAATGAATAGCACAGTGGGCAGACGGGCATGTGATTGGTGCTAGCCAGGAAGCCTCTGAGCCATGGGCAGCCTCCCCAGCATAAAAGCCTGTACCTGCTGCCCCCTAGTGGACATGGAATTATGCCATCCCAGGGACAAGTTGACTCTTCAAAGGACCCCAGGAGAGAACTGAGGGACACAGACCCAAGTAAAGCAGAGACTGGGACCAAGTATGGATAGAAAAGACAGGGAAACAGAGAGACAGAAGGTCAGGGTCAGGCAGACAGAGGATTGAGAGCCTGGTTGAAAAAAGAGAGACAGAGAAGGGTCACGGAGACAGGACACAAGTTGAGAGGGATAGGGAGAGATGGGGCACCCATAGATGAAGGCAGAGAATGAGCAAACTGCTGGCAGGCACACAGGGTGGGGCTGGCAAGACCTGTGGCCACATAGTGTGAAAGACAAGATGGAGGTCATGCATACAGGACAGTTAGGGTGACAGACGGCTTGGGATAGGTCTCGAGAAGAAGAGGGAAAACCCAGGGGACAAGCAGAGAGAAGCCAGGCAGACAGAGACCCGGAGGTGCAGGAGGACACAGACAGAAGGGCAGACATGTGTGGCAAGAGGACAGAGAGGAAGAAATAGGCAGACACACCCAGAAAGATGGGAAAGAGATGGACAGATGGACACAGAGAGAGACGCAGGCAGGTGGACAGGGGGATGCAGAGAAGGCAGGGCCCTCAAACCCAAGTGGACACTGTAGATGCCGCAGAGTGGCATGTGGGGACCAGACAAGACAGGACCAGGGGAGAGTGTGACCTGCCAGGGGTTCCAGGCTGAGGGGCTCTGTGGCAAAGCCTAGGAGAAGGGCTAGGAATGGGGCTCCCCTGGCTGGGGGTCTCTGGCTGCCACCCTCTCCTAACCCCCCCCACCCGGCGGGCTGCCCGGCGGAGGCGACAGATTGAGCGATGAGACGCATTACGCACTTAATCCGCCTGATTGAATGTTTTGCTTTCGCCCAAATTGAAACATTAAACAACACGGGACGAGAAGAGGCGGCCGCAAATCACTCATGAAAGATTCATCTTCTCCCCGGCAGCCGCCATCACCCGCCTCCGCTGCTGCCCACCCCAGCCAGGAAGCCTGAGGGTGGGGGTGGGGGCTGGGGCAACACCCCTGTCCACTTCGCCGGGCCTCTGCCCACATGGCCCAGGGAAGCCCTCCCCACTGTCTGGCCACAATCGCACAGGTGGTCTGAGACAGGGACCCCAGCTTCCTGACCAGCCTGGGCAGCGTGACCTTGGTACTGTCCCTGCTTCTCTTGGATGTGGAATCTTTGTGCCCTTTGAGTCCCCTTCTTCAGCTCTCTCATGGACCAGCCTCAGGCACAGAGGGGCTCCCGGTGTTGGGAGTCTTTCTGGGTTCTGCATCCAGGGATTAGGGGTGGTTCCTGGGTATGAGTCAGACGGAGGTGGCCATGAAGTCAGGATGAGTGGAAATGGGAGACAGGGAGAGCATGTGTGTTCTCCGGCACCCAGGAACTCCGTGTGTCTGTGAGTCTGTCTGCCTGCATGGATGACTGAATTATCTACCTCTGTCTTGCTCTGTCAAAGTGACTTGCTTTGTGAGTGTGCCTGACTCTCTGTCATTACCCCGTGCCTGTGTGTAGGTCTGTGGGTGTTGGTTCACCTGTCTGTCTGTCACTTTCTCTGTGTGCTTCTTGTGTGTGGTCTTTTTATGTGGGGTGTCTATGTCAATGTGACTTTCAGGATGTGACTGGCGACTTACGGTATGTGCATCTGTGGGTGCCTGTGTTCTGTCTGTCTGTCCACGTTTACGTCTCCATGCCGCTTGCTCTGGGTCTGTCTGTGGGTTGAGATTTAACTACTACTGTGTCTGGGCCTGTTTGTGCATCTTCATGTCTCCAAGCCCCTGTGTCGCTAGTTCAGTCTCTGCCTCTGTCTCTGGCCAAGGGGGTACCTGCTGGGGCCAGAGAAGTTACCAGGCCACAGTGGAGAGAAGCTGGGGGAGAGGAGGCAGGAGAGACAGAGAAAGACAGGACAGCAGTGACGCCTGAGAGCAGGGGAGCAGGGAGCAAGCACGAGGCAGCTGGGGGGGCATCGTGGGCGCCACGGCCGGAGCGGGTGATCAATATTCGATTTAGGTTTTAATTCCGGGGCTTTCGGAGCCTGTCAGCCCTGATGTATGAGCTCACACCGGGGCCGCCCAGCCAGCCACCCCACCGATGCCCATGGCCTGGTGGCCTGTCCTGGCCCGAGCTCTCTTGCCCCTTGGCTCTTGGCTATGAGAGAGGGGAAGGAGATGGGCCGAGTGAACTTGAACCTGGCTGCTCACTCACTAGTGCACCTCGAGCCCCTCCCTCCTCCTGCCTCCCCACCTCAAAGCTGGGAGGGAGGCTGCAGGGCCCAGGGACCCCCCAGGAAGTCCCAAAGCCTGCTTGTCAGCCCTGGTCACACAAATGCCAATACAAGCACTCCTGGCCTCACACATTCCTGTGCACACAAACCCTGACGCACACAACATATATGTGTCCACACACATCCTTGCATTCACACATGGACAAACAAACGCTAACACACATCTACAAACCCCGTATACATGTGTACCACACGCCCATGGATTCACATGTGTATCCATGCACCACTGGATCCACACTGCACACACAAACTGACACACATAAACACACAAACAACACACATGCATACACCCCCCCGACTCATATATGTGCACACACAAATTCTGACACACATTCACACAATATCCTTTGACATATGTGTCCATAAATAAATTCAGACATATACACATGTGTTCGCATACACAACCTCAAAGCACACAGATACATAAGGGTGCCACATTAGTGGGAAGTAGGAACAATGGGGAGACAGCATTCTGGCAAGAGGCAGAAATACAGAAACTAAAAAAAAAGAGACAGACTGAAGTGACAGAGACAGAAGAGTCTCAGATTGATAAAGAGCAAAAGAGAAAAACTCAAAAAGTAGAAACAAGTGCAAAGACTGCAGGGGCAAGGGGAGGCTGGGAGGACACTGGGGTGATGCCGAGGACAGGGCTCGGAGAGTGGGAGAGGGGATGGGGAGCCCCCCTTCTCCAGATGCCCCCAACCCCGTCTCTCTCTCAGGAAGATGGATCCACCGCCCTCCCTGATGACAATGCTGTCTGCGCAAACTTTAATTAACACTTTGAGTTAATTAGTTCGAGATCATTTAGGAGTAAAATGTTTTTATTAGGGAGGCTGCGGGCCTGTTGATGGATGGGGCGCGATTCGCTCTTCCGCCTGCGGGGACAGCCGGTAAACAGAAATCAATCAGAGGCCTCCCAACCCAGCCCCCCCCATGGCGAGCTCCCAGCCTAGGCCCCGGAGTCCAGGCGCCCAGCCTCATTTTCCCCCCAGGACCCAGGACTCTGAGTCCAGCTCTTCCTCCATCAGACTCAAGAGTTCAGGATCTCAGCCCCTCCAGCCTGAGACCCAGCGGTCCAGGCCCAGCCTCCAGGTGGCCCACTGGACCCCCTCGACCTGAGCCACTCTTCCGAGCCTCCCAGGCTCTGGGGCACAGAACAGGTCACGTTCACTGTACGGGGCTCCCTAGGCTGCTGTTCGCACCCTTCCCTTAACTCCTTCTCAGGGTCCCCGGAACTTTCTCTCCGTGGTCGTCTTTCGCTTCTGTCTGGCTGTCTCGCGAGGCCTGGGCGGGGAGACCGGGAGACGTCGGGGTCCGGGCCGCAGCCCCTCCGGCCGGGTGACGGCTTCATCGGGTGTCCACGGGGTG